GTTAATGCACTAAAAGAATTAGGCTTGGGGCTGCAGAAACAAGCCGAGTCCACACAGTCACAGGTGTTAGCCGCTCTTGCTCCGCTCCGTGCTTCTACGGCGGCCCCGGTCACGTCGGGGGACCACCGACCCCCTTCAGCGCGATGCTATAGATGCGGAGGCGGAGGCCACTTTCGGCGAGACTGCCGTGCCTCAGGGGTATGGTGCCAAAACTGCCAAAGCAACACGCATAACACGTCAGCTTGTCGCCGCAAGTCGGGAAACTCCCGGCGGAGCGCGCCTGGCAGCCGCGCCTGGACACAAGTAGCCGCTGTAACATCAGCGCCATCTCCTGTCTACAGCCAGCCACAACAGGGAGCCTGGGACTCGACTTGGCAGCCGCAGTAAAAACATCATTGATGACAACACGGCCCGTCAAGGTTCCAACTGGAGTTCAGGGCCCGGTGACTATCAAAGGACAAGCCTATGGAGGTTTAATAGTGGGACGTTCCTCGAGTTCAATTGTAGGACTGTTTGTGTTACCAGGCGTTATTGACGCAGACTACACAGGAGAAATACAAATAATGGTTTACACTCCTTTTCCTCCTCTTACAGTTGAGGCAGGTCAGCGCATTGCTCAATTTATTCCACTCCCACAACTAAGCCGGGGCATACCACCACAGAGACAGACCCTGCGCAGTGACCAAGGTTTTGGATCCTCTGGTATCGCTATGCTTACAATGGACCTCCATACTAGACCCAAAAAGAAAGTGAAATTGACCTATGCAGGACATATGGTAGAAATGATGGGTCTCTTAGACACTGGAGCAGACACCAGCATTGTTTCTCCAGAAAAGTGGCCCCAAAATTGGCCATCGCTGCAGACCACAGATACTGTGACGGGCGTCGGAGGGTTCACCCTCGCCAGAAAAACGCCCCCAATAAGGGTCACTATAGATGGGCAAGACTTGGTGACTGTGCTGTCGGTAGTCGCGTTGCCACCCACGGTACATTGCCTGATCGGATGGGACATTCTCGCCCAACTTGGAGTCGTTCTATCCAACGAGCACCCTTTGGAGTAATTGCCATTGCTTGGACTTTCCCGATCCCAATCACCTGGACCACCAATGAACCGGTAATGGTTAAGCAATGGCCTCTAAAAAGGGAAAGTCTAATACAAGCACACCAACTCGTGAGGGAACAATTCCAACAAGGACACTTAAAACTCTCCACGAGCCCATGGAACACGCCAATCTTTGTAATCAAAAAGAAATCAGGGAAATATCGCCTTTTGCATGATTTAAGAGCAGTAAATGAACAAATGGAAGCAATGGGAGCATTGCAACCAGGACTCCCCAATCCAGCCATGCTCCCACAACATTGGCCTCTTTTGATTATTGATTTAAAGGACTGCTTCTTTACTATAGCCCTACACCCCCAGGATACTAAAAGATTTGCATTTACCCTACCAGCAATAAATAGGGGGGAACCTGATAAAAGATACGAATGGACTGTCCTTCCACAGGGTATGAAAAACTCACCTACTTTGTGCCAACTGTATGTTGATGTGGCCTTGCAGCCTCTGAGAATCAAGTGGCCTGACACAATCATTTACCATTACATGGATGACATCCTATTCGCGCAAGAAGCAGCATTTACAAATGTTCAAATGCAAGAGATTCAAGCCACCCTGGCGAGAGCATCCCTCGTGATAGCTCAAGAAAAGATACAGCAATCCACACCATGGAAGTATCTAGGGTGGTCTATCACAAATCAGATTGTGCGACCGCAAAAGCTTCAGCTCGCCACAAAAATCACCAATTTGAATGAAGCACAACGACTGCTAGGGGATTTGCAGTGGCTCAAACCGATTGTTGGGATACCCAACTCGTTACTGGACTGCCTCAGGTCACTACTCAAGGGGACTGATCCAACCGCACCTGTGACCGTCACCCCACAACAAAAAGACGCCCTCGAAGGGATCATACGCTGTGTTGAAGAAGGATTTGTCTCCCGCCGGGACATATCTCTACCCATAGATCTTACCATTTGGAGTACTCCCGATCACTTACTAGGGGCACTTACGCAACTACAAAAGAAAACGGGGGAGACACGGGTACTAGAGTGGATGACACCACCTTTACAGGCAAGAAAGACAATTAGCACAAAAATTGAACAAGTAGCTACCCTGATCCGTAAGGGCCGTATAAGAATCATGGAAATCACCGGAATAAGCCCGACAGTAATCTATTTGCCCATGAAAAAGGAGGACTTAGATTGGTACCTCCTCAACTCTGGAGACCTGCAAACGGCCTTGCTGGAAGCTGGAGCAGTCGTCCACACCGGACCGCTGACGCCACGTCACCTTCAGTGGTTAGAAAATTGGGACTGGGTATCAAAGCCAATACGATCGGAGCAGCCAATAGCGGGCGCCATCACAGCCTTCACGGACGCCGGAAAAAAGACAAGAAGAGCAGCCATCACCTGGAAAGAAGACCCTCGATGGAAAAAGCAGATAATAGACGCTGCTCCAGAGGACAGTTTGCAAACATTGGAACTGCTTGCCGTTGTGTGGGCACTAAGTGAACTGCAAGGGCCTCTGAATGTGGTCACTGACTCATTCTATGTAGCAGGAGTAGCGCAAAGAATTGAGGATGCCTCTGTGAAAGAGGTGCAAAACAGGAGACTATATGAGCTCCTGCTACAACTGAAGCGAGCAGTAGGAGCAAGAACAAAGCCTTATTGTATCATACATATCAGGAGTCACAAGTGGGATGTAGGCCTGGGAGAGGGCAACGCCAGGGCAGATAGATTGGTCATGAATGTAGCAGATGACAGGGGGATTGAAGCAAGAGAGTCACATACGCAATTTCACCAGAATGCTAAAGGGTTGGTGCGCGAGTTCAAAATAGGCATACAAGAGGCAAAAGCAATAGTGAGAGCCTGCCCCATTTGCAGTCATCACAATAGTGGGATAGGCCTTGGGTGTGGGGTAAATCCTCGGGGTTTGAAGAGTAACGAAATTTGGCAAATGGACGTTACACATGTAGCAGAATTTGGTAGGCTCAAGTACGTGCACGTTACAATAGACACCTATAGTAAGTATATCTGGGCTACAGCACAAACAGGAGAAAAGGCAATCC